AAGACCCAGCACGTGTCCTGGCTCGGTGTCTGTGGGCAGTAGGGCCCACGCGCTCCCAGAAGACGTGGCGGATGCTGCTTTAAGGCCGATGGACAAATACATCTGCTGTCCCAAGAACTGGACACATTGGCCGCGGCATCACAAGCCCGTGAAAGCCAGCGCGGCGCCGGGAATTGCTCATGGTGCCACGGGAGTGGAGACCCTGACACGCACAGGGCTGCTCCAGGACACACGCTGCATTCAAGGACCAAGGTGATGGACGTGGTGACACGGGGCTGCTTTGACACTACTGCCTCTCACCGGGGCATCTGGGCCATGTCGCGGCGGGGTCCTGCTCCCCCAGCGCTTGCTTGGTCCTGGCCCAGGGCTTTCAGGCTGTGCTGGGAAGAGCTCCCGAGCGTGGAGGTTTTAGAGCTTCCTTACATCTCTGTAGCTGCCGCGGGAACAGCTCCGGTGCAATAAAGGTGCCTCTGGAAGGAGCGTCCCCAAGTGCTCGTGGTTTTCAGCTGCAGGGATGCGGTGCCCGCAGGAAATGCGGTGCCAGCTGCCGTGGTGGGGAAATGTCAGAAATGGCCTCTGTGACGGGCTCTTTTCTGGGCAGAAACGGGAAAAAAAGAAACAACTTCCATTTTGGAGGGAGAATAAGACAGCGTCCGCACACTGTTTTGGCTCGCTGGGGTCTGCAGTGTTTAACCGTGGGCTGCTCAGCCCAGCAGTGGGGTCAAAGCTTCCAGGAGCACTTGCACAGCCCTGAAATTACAGGCAGGAGCAAGTCCCTACCTGTTATCAGAAAACAGACCAAAAAAAAAATTTTTTTTTTAAACCAATTCCTAAAAAAAGTCAGATCTGAGTCACTGCTGTCAGGCAGCCAATGGCCACAGGAAGTTTACTGGCCCCGAGCAGCGTGTGGGCAGATGTCGGGCTCGGGAGGCCCTTGCTCCAGCGCTCCCGGGGCTGCTCCCGGCCCCGCCGCCCACTGCTAATTGCCGGCGGATGGTTTTCTGGGAGCAGGGAATGTGGGGCCGGGATGCAATGTCGGAGCACCCATCCTGCTGGGAACCGCGGGTTGGGAGGGCGGCTGCCTGCAATGGGGACAGCCCTGGCACATCAGGATCCTGTGTGGGAGCAGAGGGGGAGAGCGGCACCACGAGCCTCCCCGCAGCTCCAGGGTCAGCTGGGGCCAGTGGGAACCTTCACGGAGCACGGGGAAGGGAGGGAAGGAAGGAGGGAAGAGAAAGAGAGAGAGAGAGAAAGAGAGGAAAAAAAGGAGAGAAGGAGAGAAGGAGAGAAGGAAAGAGAGAGAGAAAGAGAGAAAGAAAGAAAGAAAGAAAGAAAGAAAGAAAGAAAGAAAGAAAGAAAGAAAGAAAGAAAGAAAGAAATAGAGAAAGAAAGAGAAAGAGAGAAAGAGAGAAAGAGAAGAGAAGAGAAGAGAAGAGAAGAGAAGAGAAGAGAAGAGAAGAGAAGAGAAGAGAAGAGAAGAGAAGAGAAGAGAAGAGAAGAGAAGAGAAGAGAAGAGAAGAGAAGAGAAGAGAAGAGAAGAGAAGAGAAGAGAAGAGAAGAGAAGAGAAGAGAAGAGAAGAGAAGAGAAGAGAAGAGAAGAGAAGAGAAGAGAAGAGAAGAGAAGAGAAGAGAAGAGAAAAGAAAAGGAAAAGAAAAGAAAAAAAAAGAAAAAAAAAGAGGAAAAAAAAGAAGGAAAAAGATAGGAGAGGTTAGGAGACTGTGTCACACAGGAGCTGTCGCAGGAGCTAAATGAAGATGGTTCTTCTGTTTCACTGGCATCTGCTCTGCTTTAATGTGCCCTGCTGAAGCTCCTGTCTGCTTCCTGGCCTTCCCCCGGCGAGGAGCTGTTATCTCCGCCTCGTGGAGCGGAGCTGGAGGGCCCAGGCTCCTCTTTCCTTCCCTCTTTTCACCTGGAAATCGAGCGGTGCCTCTGTCGCAGGAGGAAGAGCCCTGAGGCTGCGCCCGTCCCCGGGAACCGCT